TCCTCAGCAGCACCACGACCGTTGGATCCCGGAGCTCCGCGCGGCAGCGGCCGCCGGATACGCCGAGTGGGACGCCGAGCGCAACAAGCCGAAGAAGTCCGGGGGGCTGCTGGGGGGGATTGTCTCGGGGCTGTTCCCGGATGATCCCCTGGAGCTCAACCCTGTGCTGGGGAAGATCGCGCTCCGATTCCTGACCAAGACGGTGCTGGACAAGGATGCAACCGAGGGGAATGCGCTCACCGAGACCGGGATCAAGCTGTGGACCGCGCCGCAGATCGCCCCGGTGCTCAACGCGGGCCTGCCCGCCGTGATCCAGGAGCCGCTGCTCCACACCGCGCCCATACCCTTCATCATCGTGGCGCCCGAGTACCAGAAGATCGTGCGCTTCTTTAAGGCCAACGGGGAGCGCGCGGTGTCGCTCGCGGTACCGCACGGTATCGACCCCGACGAAGCCCTGCACAATCTCATCTTCTTCATCTGTTTCAACACCTTCGGGGGGCTGACCATTCTGTGGCCCGCGCTGTTCAAGCATGTGAGCGACTTTAACGAGTTTGACCTGCAGGCGAAGCTGCGGGAGGAGGTGCGGCGTGCCGTGGGCGGCGGCGGCCTGGACGCCGCGGCGCTGGGCGGTATGCCGCTGCTGCAGTCCACGGTGTACGAGGTGATGAGGATCGAGCCCCCGGTACAGTCGCAGTACGGCAGGGCCAAGGTGGACTTTGTCCTTGAGACGCACGTCGAGGCGTTCAAGATCAAGGCCGGGGAGATGCTGTACGGGTACCAGCCGCTGGTGACGCGCGACCCCGTGGTGTTTGAGGAGCCCGAGAAGTTCAAGCCTCGAAGGTTCATGGGGGAGGAGGGGCAGCGCCTGCTGGAGCATGTTTTCTGGTCGAATGGCCCCGAGACGGGCTCGCCCAGCGTGGACAATAAGCAGTGCCCCGGGAAAAACTTTGTGGTGTTGGTTACCAGGATCTTGTTTGCGGATTTCTTCCTCCACTACGATTCGTTCAAGCTTGGGGATGTGTCCATCAGCGGTACCTCTTCGGTCTATCCTTGCACCGAGCTCAAGAAGCGAGCATGAAATGAAATGCTATGTCTACATGTGTGTCGTCTCTGCTCATCAGCTTTCATGCAATTTCAATAAAACCGGGGATTACGTATAACAGGGGAACATTTTTTATGTACACGTGCGGATCAGATATTATATTTCTTCAATTGCACACAATCACCTGTGTTCGTTGTCATTCCTTCCGTTCTTTGGCTTCTTGGCCGAGTTGAAAAAAGGAGCACGATGTATCAACACAAGACTTTTTGGCACTGTAGGTGATACTTCTTGGCTTCGTGGCCAAAAAAGAAGCACAAGACTTTTGGCACTTTACGTGATACTTTCTGGCTTCTTGGCCGAGTTGAAAAAAGAAGCACGGTGATAGTGATAGATTTGGATTTCTTTTAACAGTTTAGTTAAAATAAAATACCCACAGTTAAACACTTGGTTCAAACATTGCCCTGTTTAGCAGCAACCAACTTGACTCCATCGGGCTTACGTTTTTGAGCATCTCCAAGGCACTGTCACTGGCCCTCTTCACAGGCATCACAGGAGCATCAGTGGTGTTCATCTACTTTCTGCCCGAGACCAAGGGGAAGAGTTTGGAGGAGATTGCTGGGATGTTTGAGTGGGAGGGGATGCTTGCTGGATCACCAGAGCTTGTGGAGCTTTCTTCATCCACAGTGGTGGCGGGAGACCAATCTTTCAAGTACGAGGATGTAGGGAGTGCTCCTCATGGGCACTTGGAAGTGGAGGGTAGCCATGAAGAAAGTGGTGGGCAGCTTGGGCAGCAAGGAATGTGCCGCTAACCAGCCGGTTGACGAGCAGTCCCAGGCTCATGGCTTGAGCTTGGAGCTTGAGAGGAAACACCTCGGAGTTTAGGGACTGGAAGGTGGCAATACTGGCTTAGATCCATGGCACTGTCAAAGAACACAATGTTGAGAGCCACTATCGTCAATGACGTTACCATCTTAACGTTGCTAGCGAGAAGTAGTGGCCTCCAACAAAGAAAGAATATCTGAAAAGACTAGTTGACAAATAACTTTTGATACCTATAGTCATATTTGCGACACTCTCCCCCCCTTAAGATCCTCATCAATGTATACTCTAGTCTAGACCACTACCAAGAAAGCAACTTTAGAAAAAGTTCATGGTGTTCACACTTTGTGAGAATTGCACTAATTTAAATGAGTTTCTATCTAACGTAAATGCACTATAACTCAGATACCTTCCAACCATTGTTGACAAGGAAATGATCAATGGAGTTAGCCACCTCTACTACTCTGGGTGTCACTCAAATTACAAAAAATGATATACCCCTGCTTGCAAGTAATATAGAGAGAGAAGATAATTTCTGAGCAAATAAACCAAACCCGTCAATAAGGTTTAAATAAACTATTGTAAATAGGTAGTTAAAGTTGTTTACATAGTCACACCTTTTTAAATGAAATAAGGAACATCAAGAGAGAGGCAGTTGATATGATTAATTGACATTAGCTATCCCATGATTAAAGATTTCACCATGCATATGAAATGCCAAAGCCAATCTACTTATATTGGCCCAAACCTAAAGATCAAGAGATGTATAATATTAAAGTCATTTTTAGAGACTTAATTATCGGTAAATAAATCTTAGATTAGAACACAAAAGTATTCTAAGTAAGTTATCATCCGATAAACCAGTATTAAAGTATAGAAACCACTGAGATCATTATAGGTGAAAGTCATAAAATTAACCATCCAACAAAATTCAATAGCAAGTATATCATAAAAAAACTCAATGATAAAGCTTAATCATCAAAGATTACAAATAACATGCTAAATAACTTACAAAGGACAACTAAAAGAACACAAAATATCATTGACAAATAAGGAAAATGTTTGCAAATATATCACTTAAAGGAAATAACATCCAATTTATCAAAACCAACTATAGCAATAATCAGTAAAACAGGATGAATATTGCAACACCAACAACTATAACGTTCATCCCAACTATCACATTAGCCAATATGAATAAATCTTGGTCAGCAATACAAAAGAACTCAAATTGCTTAAACAAGTTTCAGCAATATTCTATTCATATCTTAAACCCAAGAGACCAATTTAGAAAAAACTACAAAAAAAAAACATGTAGTAATGTGAAAAGTCATAAGCCATCAAAGAGAACAATTAACTATTATCAAAGATCATCAATCATTTTATTAATAAAAAAATATATAATCATCATTGAAGAAAGAATTTACCATCCCGAAGAATAGTAAATTATTCCATATCAACAATAATCAAGCAAAACCTTTAGAAAGGATCATTAATTATCTTAGACGACAATTAATCATCACAAATGATTGCTAGATACAAATATTAACTTCAACATCAAAGCTAATGAGCCAAAATGTTTTCCCTAACAACTCCTAATAAATAAAATAATAAGCTTGAAAACTCAAGAAACCAAAAGTTCAAAGAAGCATATAGTTAAGTCTTGCCTAACAATGATCATGAGTCTCGCATAAACTAACTTCAATAATTCACTGAAATCACGGTACAACTCACAATATTTTTCTTAACACATTCATAAGCTAAACTTCATAATGTAAAGCTAATGAAGAGCATTTTTACATCAATCTAAAAGCTAAGTACAATAAAATTATACTCAACAAGTGACCACCAAATTAATCCTCCATGAAGTTGTTAATGTTGTCTTTCATCTAATCTAAGGATTATGAGCAAGCGTTTACAGATTTCAAAGAGTTGTTAATGATTCCTCTCATCTATGCATAGTAAGATGTAACTCACTTTATAACAGTACAAGAAGAATCATCAATGATTAATATATTCACAACTCAAATCTAACAAGGAACCAATATCTTCAATATCAATTACTAACTTTTCCTTTTGTAAAGTTAGCATAACCCAATAACTTCTAATAAATGGAACAATAAGCATAAAACTTATTAAAGTACCAAAAGCTTGAACAAGCTTATAGCTAAGTCTTGCATAACAATAATCATGAATCTCACATAAACTAACTGCAATGCCAAAGAATAAGAAGAATCATTAATGATCGATATATCTCAACTCAAATCCAACAAGGAATCAGCATTTTCAATATTGATCATTAACTCTTTTTCTCATAAAGTTAGTATAGTCTATGACTAAATCATTTCTCAAGGAAAAGCTAAAGCTCAACCTTTACTAAACAATCTCATCTAGAACACAATTAACTCAATTTACCATTTAGTTTGTTTGAATATTAATATAATTGCTAACTAGCAATACATAAATGCCAATAACACAAAGCTACAGCCAAAGCATTAATACTATTTGCATCAAGACTAATGAAATTCAATATCAATCCTACAAAGAGACATCTCATCTCACTCTAATCTCAATATTAACAATATCAATAATATCAATAACAAAGCATCACTTCATACCATCAACACTAGAATAAAGCTAATAGAAAGTAAGAGTAAAACTCTTTAGCAACCAAGCTAACTAAAGTCAAAGATACCTTAGTCAATATCTAAGACCAATTCTTCAACAATACTTAGTTATAGATAACACACCATCAAAGAGTGATTCACCACATCCAAGACTCAATGCAATCCAACATTATAAATTAAATGCAACCAAATGATATCGACAGATATAGAATCAATATGCCAACATGGAAAAAATTATGTAAATTTAACGACACAATCCTTTGCAGTATCTTCTGATAAAGCAAGTCTATCACTGCTCAATCGTCATTGAGCAAAATAAATGTCAGTAGTCCTTAATGAAGTCTATAAGTAACCATTAGTTGCAAAGCAACTTGCCTTCACAAGACCCAAAAACTAAACTTACATTATCGAGTCATATACTTGTCTAACAAAAAGATAACACCTCATATATGAAATATACGAACATAGACAAGCATAGATTAAATGACCACTCAAATCTAATCAAACTGCAATAAGCTCACCAACACATCTAGCCAATAGTTTTGAGCATGCATTGAAGAGGCTAGCTATATATGATCAACACTTAATCGAAACTAAAGTGAAAACTATGAAATGGACTTATATGGTACACAACTTTTTAATAGACAAAGCTATAATATAGGTACTAACACCTTAACCATAAACAACAAAGTTGGATATCACCATCCTCAACTAAGGCATAAAACTACCAAGACCTCGAGTTTCTTCCAATTGCGCTGAGAAAGGAAACTTTCTTTCTTCCATTGCGCTGAGAGAAGAAATTTCTTCCAAGTCAAAATAAGTGAGAACTCACTACTCCATAAAGTGTAACGAAATGTTGCCACCTAGCATAACATTCCAGAAAAAAGGCACAAGGATCACATTTCTAAAAAAGTGCAATGGCCACTTTTTTTACCAACTTTGTAGCGCATGTGGTTTTCACCCTTTATCCTATGGATTTACCATAGGATAACCATGAAACGAAACCTAAACCCTCCATATGCCACATGTCACATACCACGTGTCCAAAAGACAGTGGTGCAAAACATGAGTTTTAGGGCCTTGGGCCACTGAATGATGGAATGGAGCCAAATTCCTAAGCATGGAGCAAAGGAGTGAAAGAACTGAAGTATGGAGTGTTTCTTGAGCGTTCAACTCAAAGAGCGAAGGAACAAAAGCATAGAGCAACTTGGACCATTTCTAGAGAATCTAGCATCCCAATGCCAAGACTAACACGCGAAATGGAGCTAAATAGAGTTTAATGCTATTTCAGCATACTGGTAGCCTAACACAAGGATATGGGTACTCCACCAGTTAGGATGGTATAGAATTTAGGTTTAGACCCAAGTTGGATTCATAACAAGGACAAGCACACAAGTGGGAGCTAAACTATGCTTTAGGTTGGTCAACCATGCCCAATCTACCCACTATCCCTACTATACATTTAAAACCCTTTATAGCCCCCCTAAAGAATGCATGCTTTCCTTACCCATCCTTAGTACCAAGAGTTAGTTTTTGGGACTAACTCAAAACTTACTAACTATGGAATGGCATTAAATTGTGAATTTGGACATGAGATAAACATTATTGCATTTAGGACAATCTTTACATTTAGTAGATATGCCAAATTAGCAAATTTAAATACTTTCCATAAATAACAATTAGGACTGAATGGAACTAACACAAGGTGCATAATAGCAAGGATATTTGGCAAAC